AGAGATAAAGAGAAGAGATTGCTGTGAGCTAACTCGACGCCCACGGTGCACTGAGAGTACACTCTAGCCAAGGCAACAAAGTGAGAGGTTGACTGACTGTCATTAAGTGCTCTAAAGAAAACAATAAAGAAGAAGAGAAGAAATAATTCAGTAAAAAATAAATTAAAAAGAAAGCGGACACTCAATGACAGCCACAGAGACACCGCACCCCACTCTACCATTTAGCACCAAGAGTAATATGCTTTGCACAGCGACTGCTCAGGAAAGCCGCTACCACCTTCTGCAACCTCAAGAGTGGCTGGTCCACTCAGCTAAGCTCAATACCATCAATAGCTCTAAGTTCTCGATTTTTTCTCGCAGCTCCTTGTTCAGCGCCTCACCCCGTTGCGGAGCATACCTGACGTACACGTGAGATACGACGGTAACCATCCGCAGCAATCATGGAACCCTCTAAATTGTACAGCCTTATGCTAATTTTATAAATAATATAGGCTTGAGAGGATGAAAAAGTGGTCATTATAGGTGCCAAATTCAACCTGATGGCCTCTTTCTACTATCACAATGCGCGTTTGTCAATCAGACGTGAGTGACTGTTGCCTCATATGTCAGCGCAGACTTCGTTGCTGGACAACAAAACGCTAACCCATGAAACAACTAGTGCTGGATGTGAATAAAGGTAGAGCACCAGCGCATGGCCTCCCAGAGGAGCAATCAAGATTAGGTGGACTGCCTGCCACAAGAACTGAGAGTGCATTTACACAACCTAGCCTAGCTCCAACGGGAAGAAAAATACAAAGAGCTAAAGAAAAATACTAAAGGTAAGAAGCAAGAAGCTTTACTTGGTGGTAGATAACAATCCTTGAAGACATCATGAACCCAGAAGATCATGAATAACATTTCAGAATAAATCGTCTGCACCAGAAGAGAGAACATACGTTCAGAAATGCTACGAGTGAGAAGAGGAGAGTTAACGAGGAGAGCAACGAGGAAGGAGAAAAACCAGTTCCGGGACTGGTGCAGGACCATCCCACCCGACGAGGAACTCCACGCAAACTGTCTACTGTATAATGCCCATACCGGATGTACAAATAGCCTCCAAATTCTCATACGATAATCTGGCATGCACCTAGATCCTTCATTCCTACTCTATCGTATTTTGAAACAGAAACCTGTCAGGCCACAATAAAATGTTTTCCTTGAGCGAGCCCAGGTTCACTATTACCCTCACAGCATTCCCTTGCCACCCTCCAGGCTGTAAGTCCGACGCTTTATATCTCAATCAGGTTAGTCATTACATAATATGCATACACATCAACATGCCTGAGAGGAGAGAAGAATGAGAGCCTCAGCTCGGGGCAGGCAAAAAAAAAAAAAAAAGGGTTTTGGGAATAAGGAAAAAAAGATTCCAGGGATCTAGACCGAGTAGCCCGCTCCTGCTGTATATTCTCTTTTACTATTACTCCTCTCCTTTGCCGCCTTCCCCTTTCTCCTCTGTCCTCTCCCACGAACTCTAGGTGTGCTGTGGTCCTATTCGAACGCGCGCTACTGGCGCTCTCTAAATCCACACCCTGCAGTCTGCTATCGCGAGTCACTCCTAGTTCCAGTTCCCTCCTCACGCCCTAACGCCTGTGAGCATCCCACCCCTGGCTCCAGTCAACAACCCTCACGCCCAGGAACAACGGTAGTTACCACACATCTGAGTGACATCCTAGCATCCCACCTACTCATAACTTTATGAAGACCGCGCCAGCTAGACTGGATAGGCCACCCTCTCCGCAACAGCCCTTCCAGGTCTCTACCTCTCTTCAATTTACTAGAAATCCTGAGACGTTCCTCCTACTCTTCCAGGAAGCGACACAAGCTGGCCTTTGCTCCTCCCTCCTGACATTACATGTGCTGCTCCAGTCCCCTCTCTCCCCTCCACCGATCCATGCCCCAGCCTTGAGTTACTCGCACTGCCACCAGACTGCCGGAGACTGCCCAGCCTGCCTCCAGTTCACGCTTACACTAGACTGTTTGCACTGCTAGGTTCCTGGAGTTTCCCACCCCTGGTTCCAGTCCCCGCCACCTGCTTCGTATCAGCCTCGTCCTCCATATCCTCGCGTAGCCACACTCCTACTGCGAGCGTGTCTCCGTCCTCTTTCTGGGACCCTTCTTCCACATACACTAGCCTGAGTCCCCCCTGGCCTCCAACATTCACTTTCTAGTTCACTCCTGCCCACGAGCCTTCATCAGAAGAGCCGGCGCCAGACGTAGCACGCCACACCTTGTTCGCGGACGTGGGGTCCATCTTCGTCCTCGAGCCGCTAACTCCGCCAGCTGGTGGAGGCGCCCAGAACCTGCACAGCGCAATGAAACAAACACACAACAAATTTTGAGCAGAAACAACATCAAACACAAAAGGCTAGAGGAGTGCCCTGGCATCAAACCTACCCGTCAACCAGCAACCTCAAACAATTCCTTCCCGCCTCAGCTCCCGGGTACCTGGGAGCTAAGCATGCGCCACCGATGCCATATTTTGTATATATATTTTAGTCGTCAATTATTTCTTTCTATTTTAGTAGAGATGGTTCTCGTCTTGCTCAGCTGTCCGAATCTGACCTGGACTATTCCGCCTTGGCCTCCCAAATTGCTAGATTATACGGCGTGACCACCCCGCGCTGGCCAGCACTGCCAGTCTTCAAATGCCCGTCACCATCTGTGCACGCATCAAGACACCGTACCTGCTTACCCTTGCTCCTTAACCAAAGTCCCCCATAAGTAATTCACACAGACCTCCTACTGCTTGGCTTGGCATATAGGGTTCACCTTTTGAGTCTTGGACCCTGAGAACAGACAGCCCTTAGGGCAGGGGGTTAGTCTATACTGCTGCATGCCGTGTTCCCAGCAGATCGGCAGCTCTCAGTAAATGTGTGTGCAAATGAGCTAATGAGACCTGTTAACGTTAGCTCTTGATAACAACTTGATATGTATTAATCTTAGGTTTATGGAGCTTGGGTATTAGAGCACGATCTGTTGACAGTATGTTGACACTCACTGTGCAGTTATGTGGTGTGGCTTCTTGATTTACCGTTGACCTAAGAGACAGCACATCTGGATTGGAAACCTTGCTCACCGAACGCGGGACAGATATGTTCATGGCATAAATTGTGGTGATGGGTTCACCAGTGTATGCTTATCTCCATACTCATAAAGTTGTGTACAGTCGGCCCCCCTTATCCACGGGGGATATGTTCCAAGACCCCCAGTGGATGCCTAGAACCATGGATAGTATGGAACCTCGTATATACTGTTTTTTTCTATGCTTATGTACATACCTAAAGTTTAATTTATAAATTAGGGACAGTAAGATTAACAATAACTAGTCCTAGATGGCCACAGAGTGACTAACAGGTGGGTAGTACATACATCACAGACACACGGCCAAAGGGATGATTCACATCCTGGGTGAGACAGAGGGAAGGCTCTAGATTTCATCATGCTACTCAGAATGGCATGCGGATCTACAACTTATGAGTTATTTCTGGAAATTTCCATTAAGTATTTTTGGACC